ACCTCCTCATCTTGAGTCAGGTCCAGGACTTGATCATTCAGAGAAAGGGACTTGGTCCCAGCAGCCTCTTTTGACTTCCTCACCAAAACCTCCTCCTCGAATTCAGAGTCGTCATCAGATTGAGTTGGAGTTAGAGGGAATGGAAGAGGAATGACATCGGCGTTCCTGAGGGGCGAGTCCTCGGGGACTTCAAGCTTTTTTAGAAGAGACATCCAACCAAGGGTGAAACCCTTGTTGCATGCCTGCTTCACTTGCTTTTCATAGTCCGCCGTGACATCGGCCACCCCTTCATTATAGCCCTTCTCGTCGGCGGCCTTGACTTCGGCCTCTTTGGTGGCCAGGGCATCTTGAAGCTCCCTTTGGCCTCGGCCATCTTGTCCTCGGCCTCTTTCGGCTGGGCTTGAAGGACTTTGTTTATCGCCTCAGCAGTATCAACCTTTTCTTCGGCATCGTCCTTGGCTTTGATAGCGACCTTGGCCTGATTCTCCAAAGTCTTCATCTTTGACTGCAGATTTTTGTTAGTCTTTTGCAAACTGGAGACTTCTCTCTTCTTCTCGGCCAGCTTCTCCCGATTTTGGAAAGATTGTACTGAGAAGGATTGGGCATGCTGGATTGCCTGAGAAAGAATACAACAAAGCAGAAGTTATTACAAAATTTTCTAAAGTATGAAAAAGAGAAAGAAAGGAAAAATCACCAAATAAAGACACTTACCTGAACAGAGTGCTGGAGCATCAGAACATAGTTCTCATACTTGCTCATCTCGGCGTTTCGGTCGAGGTCGCCGGGAAGGAGCAGAGCGATAATGAGGGCAACGTCGACGTTAATATCTTCAGCACTGTCACTAGCCATAACTGGCTTATCTTTCAAAGTGATTTTGGGGGCCCAGGGGGCATCATGTTTTTGAGACCTCGAGGTCGTTGCAGAAGATGACCTCGGCTTTTTTGATCTGGTGGATTCAGACGGATGTGTTTCAGCAGACCTCTTATCGGGGACAGAGGCAGTCTTCTCGCTCTCAGCCAATCTGGAAATTGGCAAGGTGTCCTCAGTATCAACCTGAGTCACCTTTACCTTTGGTTGAGCCTTTTTTATTCTTTTTTTCTTTGGTGGAGGCTGGGTTTGCGTTGGCTGAGTGTCAACATCAGAAGGGATGCTAGCTAAGAGGTCTTTTGCGACAGCTTTCTGGCGGCCCATCTTGGAAGAAAACACAGTTCGTCGTCGACGTTATCGCTGAGATGGTGGGATCAGGTATGGAGCCGAGGTTGACGGCTGCTCAGCTGGATCAGAGGTTGATCCTTGGTCTGTCCGAGATGTGGACGCGACTTGTGGAGTTGTGGCAGAAGGTGGAGAAAAGTTTTTTTTCTTCTTTTTTGGGACGTCGGGAAGAGCCGACTTATACCTGGGGATGAAGTTGAGAAGTAGAGGGGCCTTCCGCTTGTGGACTGGCAAATTTAGTAGTTTCTTGAAGTCTTCGCTGGGAAAGAAAGACTAACGGAAGCCCTTTGGTGGCTAAGGGAGAACTGTAAAAAAGAAAAAAAACGTAGACATTAGAGTAGAATGTTGAAAACTTCATGCAAGAAAGCAAGAAAATTTGTGAAGGGTGGCCCTTACCAGCTCCTTTCTCGAAAACTGTTCGACTTAGGGAATAAAGATGGAGGTCATCGTTTGGCTGAAACTCCCAGTTACCCGAAATGATGAAGTAATCATCCCCCGCTCCCTTGTTGGAGTTAGGGAGGTCGGCAACAATTTTGTATTCCGTGGACCTCGGCTTGAGGTAATAGATGTGGCCTTTTTCTGATTTCAGGCGACACATGGTATAACAGATTTTATACGCTGTAGACCTCGGCTTAAGGTAGTAAACGTAGCTCGTGTCTTTTTTAAGGCCACACATGGTGTAGCAATACTGGATATCGGCTAAGGTAACTCTAACATTTTCCCGTTTGGCTAAGGCTATGATGCCATTAAGGACTCGGTAGGAGTTGATGGCAAGCTGCATTGGGTTCAGTTTATAGTAGTGAAGTATTTCACGAAAAAGGATGTTAAGTGGGAGCCGAAGTCCACACTCAATGAAGGCTACCACAAGGAATGGCATGGAATCGGTTGTAGGCATGATGGAGTCATCTTCCCCAGCCAACCTCAGATGGACGTCGGCAGGGATGGAAAACTCTCACCTAAAGTATTCTAATTTTGTCGGGGTGTCTACCCTATGCTTCCACATACCCATGATATCGGCTTAACTGAAGGGATTGGATTTCAGAAATGTGTTTTAAAAGGGTTATTGGGACCTCGGCAAAAACCAAAATTATGTACTGGGTAAGAATTTGTGGAAATAGTTTCAGTTTTTCCTAAAAATCAAGGGTTCTACAAGCAAATCCCAAACCTAGATTTATGGAAACGAAGATTGAATGCACGGATTTGGAAAACAGAAAAACAGGGATGCGTTTCAGAATCAAGAATGGTGATGAAGCCATCAAGAAATCAAGATAAAAAGTTCGCACAGGTGTATTAGGCCAAGAACAATGGCAGAAATCAATAGAAGTGTGAACAGTGTATATTCAAGAAGATGATTTGGGTAAAAACAGAAACATAAAACAAACATGTTCAAATATATGGTGGAATACAAGATGCAAGATGAATTATCGAAAACATGAACAAGATTGCAAAGATAGCAGGTAAAATAGTAAAGTTCAGTAAGGTAATAAGAAACTGAAACCATGCGAAATAGTGGCTTACAAGAAAGAGGGAAGCCGAAATAGGGATTGCCGAAGTCTGACGACGGTTGCGAAGGCAGAAGATCGGTGAAAACCGCGCCGGAAGAGGTGAACAGCAGCGATGGCAGAGCTTTAGAAGCCTGAACAATGGAGGGTTTGGAAGAAAAGCTAGAGAGGGAAAAGCTTCAGAGACGATGGAGAAAAGTGAGAAAATAAGAAAAGGGGAAAAAGTTTTATTAAAACTTGAAACGGCGGCAAAACAGAATTAATGCGCCTAAAACAACGTGAGCGCCAGACGGCGCAAGCATGTGCGAGACGATTTAGAAGCGCGTACCAAGTACGATCTAGTGAGGAAATGACGCGTGGCTGGAAACGGTTGAGTTGTTGTGCACAACAATTCATTTGCATGAGAGAGCACTTGGAAGCCTTGATCTTTAAAAAGACATGTCGGCCTATAATGATGATCTTGGCTCAAGCCGATGTACTGGCAGGAAGTACCAATATAGGTTCCATCACCTCAGAATGCCGAGGTAATAGAACCTAGGGGGCAGTTGTGGGGATATATTTTCTTAGTACCAACACGTGGCCAAGGTGACGCCGACGTGTCAGCCGAGGTGCCACGTGTCCTGGTTATGACGCCGAGGTGCTCTCGGCTAGGCCGAGGTTATCTTCGAAGATATCAGAATTCGAGATAAGCGGATAAGGGACAAGAGTCCTAGAATGATGAAAGACTTTAGCATGGATAAGGATAACACTTTTAGAGAGTTTATCTTTATCTCTTGGAGAGTTCAGGATAAGCACTGAGCAAGAGTCCATTGAAGCTAGGCTTCTAGTGGGATAATGATTGAGTTAACTATAAAAGAGAGGCACCCTCGATGGGTCTAAGGTACGCAATTTATATTCTGAACAGTGAGATTAGTGAGATTAGCACTATTGATTATCTTTAAGAGATATACTGACTTGATCGTCGGAGAGCCCCCGGGTGGACGAACCATCGCTGGAATCTTTTCTTTCTGTTGCGGGTTAGTCAGGTGTCGTCTATTCTGCCAGTTCTCTCCAGCTGATTACTGAGTTGGTAGTGTGATCGGAAAATCACTCATACAGTCCTTATGGATAAAGTATTTTGTGTGAACCTTTGGCCAAATAAAATTCAAAGTTAGATTTATGGACTGAACGCCCTTTTTAAATAAATAAATTTCACATTGAGTGTTTAAAAAATAAAATAAAAGATAACTTAATTTCAATTTTGAGAATAAAAAATTTTAAATTGGAAAATACAAAATAGCAAAATTCTATCTTTGTGTTTTGACAGTAAAATTTTAGCATTTATGAACATTGAAATTTTACTATTTTTCTTTTGAATAAAAATAAATTTAAAAAGTAATAGAAAGAAAAAGTTGCACTTCTTTGACAACAAATACGAAAATAATGGTGGCTCTTCATATTGTTTCTAGTTCTATGTGAAAATAGTTTACAAAAAATTGGTAAATAACTTTTTAATGTTTTTCTTAAAAAGTGAGCTTATTTTAGAAAATGTAACAAAATAAAAAATAAAAAATTGCAAATGATTGCCAAAGAAAATTTTCATGTTTCCAATGAACGAAATAGAAAACAAAAAAACAATACCAAACAATAATTGTTCATAAACTTTTTGAATATTTGGATTTCGACGAAAATAAAATGAATTCGAGTTTTTACTGTTCTTGTTTACCTAATAAAATATGACAAATATTTGTTTACCTCTTATGTAAAGGCTATGTGCACATAATTCTCTTTCATTTAAAAATAACCATTAACCCCTATAGTTTGTAGGCTATAATAAGCCATTATAAATTTCGTCCTAAAATTAAATGCGAGAGTAAATCATTTTTTTAAGACAAAATATCATTATAAATATTCAAAATTATAACTAAAAAAATAATAATTTTCTTCTTTTGTTTCTCTATTGGTTTTTTCTCTTATCCCATCCTTCACGGAATCTAGCCCATCTCATCTCTCTCTACCACCTTATTCTCTACTCATACTTTAACATCCCAGCCATTGTTCTACTTTCACCCGAAAATACTTCGGGTTACCATTGATTGTCATAGGCATAGAGTGATAATTTGCATTATTGATGGGGATTTTTTGAGTTCCTTGGTGAGAGGAATGGCATTGTAGTTCCATATTTGTGTCACGACCCAAACTCGCCCTTAAAAGTTTGGATCATGACCGGCCAGTAACTTTAGATTACCTTCAGCCTCAAAAACAAAATTTCATACTATTCAAATTATATCGAGGCCTCAAAACGGAAGCAAAACAAAATAACAATATCTATTGAGCATGTGGATATATGATAACTGGAACAATTAAAACATTTCGACACACTAGTAAGTTATCTTCATATACAACTCTTATATATCTCACACACATATACACAAGACTCAATAATAAATACAGAAGTCTAACAATACAAAGTTAAAGCCTCGACACAAAGGCGCATCTTGGGTGGCTTGACAAAAAAACAGACTTTACTCAAAGTATCTCAAAAGGGCAAGACTTCCACCTTGGAGACTTGGTATAACAGGTCCACGGAAGGACACTTGAGGTTGACCTAAGATTGGTCTCCAGATTGATCACCTACATACATATAAAGTACGGAGTGAGCGAAGCTCAATGAGTAATACTACAGTAAATAGGTTTAAATGAATGAGCCTAACATCATAGTAAGCATAATAACATAAATTCATACTTTTCTTAAACCATATTACAGAACGACCTTGGGTTTACAAAACGGCCTTAGGCCCAACATTGATCAGAATGGTCTTAGGTCCACATATGATACAAAACGGCCTTGGGCCCACACTTGATACAGAATGGCCTCGGGCCCAATCACATGTTAACAGCTGTTCGGAACAACCTCAGGTCCAAACGGATCTTATCATAGAGTAGATGGAACTAGTGGTGTGCGCGGTGCGGTTCGGACGGTTTAAAAGTAAAATTACAAACTGAATGGTGGGTTAGCAGATTAGCGGATTGACAAATTGCGGTCAGGGCGATTTTTGACGGATTGAAGAATATTCTAACTAATTATCATACATTTGCATAATATATAACACTAATTTGTATAATATTTTTTAGTTATATAACACAAAGTAATTTTACATAATATGTTTCATACATATAACCACCAATTTGTAATAAATTTCATATCTTAAATCTTTCTCACACTCATTTTTACATTGATGTTTCATTGAAAGTTAAATATATATATATATATATATATCAACTATAGCGGAGCGGTTCGGTTGGCAGATTATAAATTTTAAAGTTTAAACTGTGGTTAAAGCAGTACGGATTGATACGGATCGGTGTGGTTTTAGCGAATTGGGCAGTATTTTGTACAGCCTTAGATGGAGAACATCGACATGTCTTCATCTCTCACCTAAACTCAGGTCCAAACGTAGCTTATCATAGAGTAGATGGAACATCGACATGTCTCCATCTCTCACATAAAACGGAACAGCCTTGGGCTCACATATCATAGCATAACCGGAACTGCCTTGGGCCCACTTATCATAGCATAAGCAAATCACATTTCTTATCCAGATTCCTTATCACAATTCTTGAAACTCATTCATATGAATAAAACATTATTTCAGAAATTCACATTATTTATGTATCAAAATAAATATCAGTGAACATATATTTACAATACTATTACTCATAGTGATTTTGGTCGTACGGTGGTCTTTCTGGTAAGTGACCTACACAACATAACAAATACACAAATTCGATAAATAATTCATTCTTAATCCTTTTCTTTATTTAATCATTTACTTTTCGCTTGATTTTCATTTATTATCAAACTTTCCAGAGGGTCTAAATATACTTATAAACAGATTCAGAAGGTCAAAAAGGGTAACAGAAATTGACAATTTTTTTTCCCAATTCTCGCACGTACGAAAGGCACCCGCACGTGCAATAAAAACAGAATGCGAAGTTCTATTTTGATCTGAGTTCTGCACGTGCGATTTTGGGTTCTATTGTGCAGTCCGAAAATTGACCAAGGTTCAAGCTTCTAAACTCATTTTCAAAGCCCAATTCATACAAATCCACTTCAAAAACATGATACACAAACATAATAAAAGTGTAATTCAAGCTCAATTAGATTAAAACTTGCTTAACTTCCAAAATCAAAGCCCTAGTTCCCATAAATTTATGATTTTCTTCATTTCCCTTCAAACTTAAGAAGATAACCATTACACATGAGTGTTAATCACACAAAACCCAAAGATTAAGACTCACTTCTCACAATCTAACCCAAGTCACGCAATTTCAAAGAAATCAACTCTTAAATCAAACAAATTTAAGAAATCCAAGTCCAATTTCATATATATATATATGTCAAGTGAGCTTAGAACTCAAAATGATAAAACCGTTATCTTCTCCTTTAGGGTTCTTACTTTAATTTTCACCAATTTACACCCTTCAACTTCTTAATTCAACCTAGATTATATGATCTCATGAGGAATACAACTTGTATTCATAAAATTAGAGGAAGATGCTTACCGTACTTGGTTAATTTGTTGTAAATTAGCTTATCTTCAATGTTCTCTTCAAGTTTCCCTCTTCCTTATTTCCTTGAGTTCTTTCTCTCTCTCTCTTTCACGTTCTAAAACTCTCTCTCCCTCTTTTCCTCAGATTTTTGTGTTTTAAATCAAGATAAAGATGAGCCCAAATGACTTATATCACTTATATATATATATACTTAAAGGTGGACCAAACACACCTTAACAAATTAGACGGAATAAATTTTTAATTAAACTTCCCAAATGATTCCAAAAATTCCAATTAACCTATCCAGGTACACCATTTCGGTTTCTAAACCTATTTAGGCCGCTAATTTCAAAGTCCGAACCGAAATCACACAAGATAATTCATTTCGAATAAAAATTTTACCAAAATTCATATTGGACTCTAAAAATCATGCTGATCTTGTCTATGTGGTTGGTTTTGGTTTATCAAGCCTCTAAGGCTTTCAATTTTCAGTCAAAAGGGCATAATTTCGAAAAATTTTCTTATAACCTACAGATACAATTCCATAATCGTGTAATTCACACATTTAAACATGTAATTTCACATCAAGCATATAATCACACATATAATTAAAGACTTAAAACTTATGAGAGGGTCGAGTTGTCACACTTTGTGTGTGCGATCCTCGTGATTGAGATAACATTTGCTTATTTGTTGGCCAACCAGCCTTACCTTGAGTAAAGGGATATCATCTCATGAAGAATTATCCTCAACGATTTGTGAATTACAAGATGTCTTTCCCAAAGACTCGTATGGTTTGCCACTACAAAGAAAGATAGAGCTTTCCATTAAGCTTCAACCAGGCACGAGGCCTATATCCATTCTACCTTACCGGTTTGCTCCCACTAAACTTACGAAATTTAAGGCACAATTGCTAGACCTTCAAAGTAAGAGTTTTATTCACCATAGTATTTCATCGTAGGGTGCATCGACTTTCTTTGCCCAAAAGAATGTTGTTTTTTTTCACATTTGCATTGTCTATTGGCGTTAAGGAAAAACGAGTATTTGATACGTCAAATTAATGACTTGTTTGATAAGTTGAAGAGATCCACATCCTTCAATTTTCGGGTTATTTCGAGCCAATGAAGGACATTCATGAAGATGTTTCTCACCTATATAAAAAGAAATTGTGCATTTTTGTTAAAATATTAACAAAAAATAAATGAAAATAAATAAAAATAGGGCAAATTACATATACACCCCTTCAGGTTTGGTTAAATTACAGATACCCCTGAGGTTTCAGAAATTACATCCCGCCCCCTGAGGTTTGTATTTTCATAACAATTTACCCCCTGAGGTTTATATTTCATAACAAATTACCCCCTAATTTCTTATGGAAATATAGCATTCAGGGAGGAATTCGTAATTTCTCAAACCTCAGGGGTATCTGTAATTTTGACAAACCTGGAGGGGTGTATATGTAATTTGCCCATAAAAATATGTGTACATTTTTTCCCCCCAAGGTTTCGTTTGTTTTTTATAATTTTTTTTTTTTTTTTTGTAATTTTTTAGATGTAACTAATCTTGGTATACATAAAAAGTGAAAAAAAAAAAGACTAAAAAATACGAAGGATAAAAAAAATTAGTAAACACAAACGAAAATGGGTTTAAAAATAATTTTTTTGAAAACGTAAGGACAGAGGGAGAGGGCTATTTCAGCGTAACGCTTCTCCCCGCGCTAGGCCATATTTGAAAGAAGAGCAATTTTGAGTCTTCTTCAAGCTCTCTTCACCCCAAACCAAGGCAGAAGTAGACCACCTCTCTCCTCCTTCAACCTCCTTTCTCATTATCCTATTTAAGTCACATCATCTTATTTAAGTCACACCATCTCTCTAACACATCACTTCAAACCCAACCTAAATCCAACTCATATTTCATAAAAAGTCAAAAAGTACACTTATTTAGTCTTCCTAAACTTGGCCTAAAAAATACGAAGATAAAAAAAATTAGTAAACACAAACGAAAATGGGTTTAAAAATAATTTTTTTGAAAACGAAAGGAGAGAGGGAGAGGGCTATTTCAGCGTGACGCTTCTCCCCGCGCTAGGCTATATTTGAAAGAAGAGCAATTTTGAGTATTCTTCAAGCTCTCTTCACCCCAGACCAAGGCAGAAGTAGACCACCTCTCTCCTCCTTCAACCTCCTTTCTCATCTCTCCCTAATCAAGGTATCTATCAAATTCTCTCTCTCTCTCTCTCTCTCTCCTTTGCAAAGCCGAGTTCAATTCCTTTAGTTTGAGCTTCTTTTTCTTTTTCTTTTTCAGAAATAGATTCATGCGTAATAGAATTATGCGGTAATTAGGTTTGATGAACTCCCCTAGATTTGAACTTCCCGGAACCCTAATTTTATTTTTCATAACAATGAATTTACTTGTTCTTGCATTTATCAGTTTCCTATTTGGAATTTAGATGCTGTTCTCATAACTCTGGTCTTTTTTTTTTTTTTTAAATTCAATCCAGAAAACCAAAGCCAACAACTAAAATCCCACGACAGGTATAGAAGGCAACCTAAACAAACCAACCAAACTACTCAGCATCAATTAACCTCAAACCTGACCAGTAGTTATTCTATGGCCTATCAAAATCCTAGTGGATACATTCCAGATTAAGCGAGTCAACCAATTCTTATATGTATTCTTAATCAGCTTCCATCAACTTAGTCAATCTCTGATATCACACTGTCCCAGAATCTCTGATCCCTCCCCTGAAAATTCTGGCATTCGATTAAGCCCAGACATGATAAATAGTAGCTGCAAAACCCAGTTTATACACATCAGTGCAAAAAGATTTCCTAGTCAACTATGGTCTTTGTCTACCTAATGTCAATATAATTCGTTGGAATCCTATCGTTCTACATGTTTCTTTCAAATTGTAGCTGCTGGGTATGTATTCAAGTCTTGTAATTGTTTTGTTGTTATGGTTTCGCTGCATATTCTGAAATCTGTTTCTTGCTTCTTGTTTCTTATCTTGGGCTGGGGCTTTGTTTTGGGGGTTTGAATTTTAGGCGTTGTAATCATGTATTGTTTATTTCTTTCTTGTATATCTATGGATTTTGCTACCTGTTACTAAATTTTTCTAGCTGATTCTTTTTTCTTTTGAAAGTTTTTGAGTTAGTTTGAAAGGGTAGCTAACAGAAAGAGTAGTGTTTGAGTACATAGATGAAAATGTAGTTAGCTAAAATAAAGAGTACTTTTTTGTGTACTTTGACAGGATAAAATAAGAGTAGTATTGGATTTTTCATAATTAATGTCTATTCTTTCTCAGATTGGTGTCTCATTTGGATCTCTCAGCGCGACTCTAATCTAGCTTGTTCTCCAACTTAGGTGGGCCTACACTACTCCAGTCCAACCTCCATGAGTCCACAAGCCACAGTCCAAATCCATGTACCCACTCTCCCCCTCCCATCCTCCTCTCTCCCTTTGCTAGCCCACCACTCTTCTCCCTACAACTCCTCTTCCCGCCCAAGGTTTTAAGTAACGGTGGCGGCAACGTGGCCATGGCATGTAATGGCCATAGTATAATAGTGGCGGCAACCGGAGTCGTGATGTTTCTTCTTCTTCACACAATTATGGGAAAACTTACCGTGACACTTGTTTTTATTTCAAAATTATATTTAGTAGAATTTAAAAAGGTTTTTAGTTGATTTTGTTATGTTTTTCAACATGATCTAATATATCTACTAATTTTTACACTCATTTTAAGTCGCTGAGGAGATATTTCCTTTTGCTGGATGTATTGATTATTTTTTTTATATTAAATTTATTTGTGGATTACTTGTCGTTGTTATGCAAACAATAAAATAAAAAAAAACATGAAGCATGTTAAATATTAATATTAGCCAAAACTTTCGCCAAAAGCTTATACACACTTCCCAAAAGAATAATAGAACAAAAATCCCAAATATCCTCCGCACCTCATTTATTCAAAATCAAAGCAATAAAGGTCGCATTGAGACTCTTCTCAAACTGCCTCATCCTAAAATCAGTTATTGGTGTTTGGTTTGAGTATTTTTGATTAGTGCTAGTTGCTCTAATTGGAGGTTTGAGGTACAGTTTCATGGCTACTGTGCTCTCCCTTTCCCAACTGGCTTAGTTTTATCTTCATTGTTTTTTAAGGCCTAGCTATCTTAACTAGGGTTTCTGTAGCTACGTTGGTAAATTGGTGTTGTATGTGTTGTGGAGACGCGGAGACAGTGGACCATTTGTTCCTTCATTGCTCGGTTGCATCTCGGCTATGAAGCTCCATTGTTGCTTTGTTTGGGATAGTTTGGGTTCAACTGAGGTTTGTGTTGGGTGTGTTACAATGTTGGGGTAGGGTAGGGCTAGGGTGGGAAAGAGGTGTCGGAAGGCTTGGTTACTTGCTTCCATTGCTTGCTTTGGTTGGTTTGGTTAGAGCGAAATAGGCGTGTTTTTTAGGATGTGTGTCATCGGTTTCTTGGTTAGAAAGTAGGTTGTTGATAGTTTTGCATAGTTGGGTTATGGGTTTGGTTGATCTGAATGTTTTGGCATTTGTAGATTTTGTGGAGGATTTGCTTAGTTAGTCTTATCTTGGCCCTAATGTGGGTTGTTTCCTTTGTATTCTTTGCATCACCTTGATGCTTCTCTAATAAAGTTTGATTATTTATCCCAAAAAAAAAAAAACTGATGGATATAGTTTTTTTTGTGTGCTGCTACTTTTATAAATCCTTTTGTTTAACATTCATATTATTCAAGATTGGCATATCATTTTTATGATTACAAAATATGAGCGTCATTCCGTAACATGATTTCTCTATATTGACATACAAATTTGTTTAAGTGTTACCATCAATTGGAAGATTTAATTTAATTAATTAAAATTAATTAAAATTAACGTAGTGATTCAGTATTACTAAAAAATAATCCTCACTTCTCTATGTATTTCTTATTCCCCTATTGTTATGTAGATTTGTGTACATCTATAGTACCATGATTAATTTTTTCATAGTCAAAATTTTGTATAAAATTGTCTCACTTTTGAAAATGATTACAAATGTATAACCTCACCTAACATTAAGCACTTAAAATGACTTGTGTCCAATGAGATATATATATATATATATAATAATAACTAAATTAGAAAAAAGTACTTATATTAAAAGAACCTTTTTTG